AAAGAGTAGTTGAAGCTAGGTTGAGGCAGGAAGTGGAGATTTGTGAACGACAGTATGGTTTCATGCCTAGGAAGAGTACCACAGATGCAATATTTGCCTTGAGGATGCTGATGGATTTAAAAATAAATTTTATGGGACATTTAAAGCTCCGAAAAAGGTTATGTCAACCAAGGAATGGATGGATGGACAGAAGTAACGTAACTAGAGCACAATAATATCAGTAAACAGCAGTAAGTGGTACTGAAATGTATGATGTGCAAAGAGATTGCTATCACAGTTGGGGAAATATCCAGTCTGGGGAAAAGTGTGAATTGCAATTTCAGCTGCTGAGGAAAATGAAAACATTAGAGATGAATGCGTGCATTTTTGGTGATGTTGTTATGAGCCTGAAAGGTGAAAATAATAAATATTTAAACACTTTAGGCCTAAAATGTACAGTGTTACGACAATAGCATTAACAGCCTCAGGGGAAAAGAAAAACGCAATATACTGTATATATGAGCTCGTACTTGGGCTTTATGATGAAAAGGGCCTCCTCTCCCTGCTCCATAGCCATGATGGCTTTCTCCACTCCAGAAGGCAGGCCAAGGCTCTCTCCATCACCAACCTCAAACTTCAGTTCTCTCTCATCAAACACAAAGCCGTCACAGGTGCCTTGTACAGTGACTGAAAGATAGTACAATAGGACAAGTTTTAAGTTCAAACCCAGAAGTTAAATTTCAAGTTACTCAAGATTGGCAGAGTCAAGCTGAAGGTCATTTCATATTCACATCAGGGTTAAATTATGGTTGATCAAAAGGGAGTTTAAAATTAGTTTTAAGGCTCCAGGAAGTACTCACCCCCCCCCCAAAATGTCAGCATTTTTCTAAAGCAATGAATCCCATACACTTTGCCACATGACAAACCAATTCAAATCAAATTTCACTCAATTGCTCCGAAAGTATTTTTATATTATTATACATATATATAATATTTAGATTTTTAATTTATTTTATTTATTTACTTTGTTCATCTCTGCCAGGGGTGTCTCAACTCAAACTAATAGTTGGCCAAAATTAAAAACTGGAACGAAGTCGTGGGCCAAACTCAATATTCATTGAAACATTGAATGTAATGGTCCATGTTTTCCCTTCTCACTAGATACGTAATGTTGAAATTTCTCATTTGGAAACAAAGTTTTGCATAAACATTGAATCTAGAACGACGGAAGCTTAACATTATAAACACATGAGAAATTAAATTTAAAATAAAACACACATCATTATTATAAGGAATCAATAATGATAAATCCATTTTAAATTCTCATACTTCTTGGAAAATTAAAAAGACACAATAAAATAAAGCTAATGTTATTGAAGTACATTTTACAATACAATAAATTCAAAGTTTACAGACAGGCTTGCTTTCTGCCCATAGTGCAGATAGTGGATTTATAGAGGCGGAAATAGAAAGAATAACATTAGCATTTTTGAATAGCAAAATAAAACACACTATTGTAATTAACCTATAGCCAACACCAATGACAGTGTCTAAAAATATTTTTATTACATTTTAATGATAAACTTATAAATACAGGAGATGTTTTCCCTGGGTATGTTTTTGTTACCTTCAACCGCAGCTCCTTCATTAGGCTTGGTATATCCCTGGCCTTTAGTAATAATGCGACGGATGATTCCTCCATTCTCTTCTTCTGTTATGTCTTCCCCTCGGAACTCAATCAGTTCCACCTTAAAGTTTACAGTTTTGCAAATTAATATCACAATAAATAATAAACAGATTATATTACAGCAAAGTGAGTTACAACTACTTTCACTATAAGACTTGCATTATTGGTTTTAAAATACCTATTTTAAATTAATGACTTTTAAAATTTTAATGATTTAATTTGTTTAAGCTACATTTCTTATCATGCTCTCTATATTTGTTTTTAGGTTTGTTTATTATTTTACGTAGGGGTGATAATTCACTTTGGCTCAATAGAGGCATAATAATATTTATAATAATTTATAATAAATAATTTATAATATTTATACATATCGCTAACTTTTAATTCCGATATCAAACACGCCGCAAATAAAAAAAAACCCAAACAAAGCAAAAAAAAAAAAAAGCAAACAAACTAAGCCAGGATTTCGACAAAATTTGAAAATGCTTGTGAGACATTTACCGGTGTGCGGTTGATGACCTCATCGAACCGCGTCATGAAGCATAACAACAAATGGCTATAGGCTATCCGTTGCTAACAGGCCTGCCCTGGCTCGGTGTTTTGCAATTAATACAAAGCGTTTATAATGCGAGGGGTAACCTATGTTGCGCATAATGAGTGTCAAAGCACCGTCTTTTGAACCATGAGCTTGCGTTCGAACTTTCTTATTCATTAAAAAGCATCTCTCGTTTTACCTTACTCGCTTACCGGAAGTTGTACTTTTAGGCTTCATACCATCCTTGATTTTACATGGACCCATCTGCTGGTCATTTCTGGTAATACAACTACACATAGTAACATACTGAAGACGTCTTCCTTCAATACTTCAAATTTAATCTTTCATCTCAGGAAGAGTCACTCAAGATTCACGACGAGGCCAGATTATAATTAAAGAGATTATTAGTAATTGTATAGTAATTATTATTAATAATGGTATAAGGACCGAGTCGGTCTATAACGGTTTTGCACTTCCTTTCCTTTCATTTGACTTTTTTTTTCTAAAGTGTAGTTTTCAGGGCAAAGAAAAAGGCCACATATTTGAATGGTTACATAATGGATTTAAAATGTTATAATTGCTAGACACATGTATTTGTTTCATATTTGTAAATTAATTATTTTAATTCAATTCAAGTTTTAAGAAGACACTTTCTTTAGTCTGGTAAAATAAAGCCAGTTGTATTGGTATTAGTTGATATTGGAATGAAAAATTAAGTGGTGGACAGTATTAGCTAAAAAGGTTCATATCAATTCCAAATTTCATAAATTTTAGATGCAAGTTACTGTAGTTCTGTGCTTCTGTCAGAAATTACAGGTACATTTCTAGCAGCATTTCAACCACATTTTTCCCCAGCATCCCTAGTAAAGACTCTTTCTTACACAAGTATAGCAAGTGCACATGAAAAGTAACAATTGTTTTAGCTATTCATAAACAGCTGTGTGGTCATGCTCAAATGCAGACTTGACTTGCTGTAAGAGGATATGTTCATAACTCCCCACAGCAAACAATCTTGCTGTATACGCCTTTAAATAAATTCCATGACACCGTACATTTAAATTATTTTTGGATGTCCCTTCTACTATTAAACAAATCCTATTACTATATCACTGATGGCATTCTGTGCATCTGATTTTCAGCCAGAATGAATATATTGGTGTAAATAAAAGGCATAAGAAAAGTTAAATTATATGGGCTTGGGTCTGGAGCCGATAAGCCAAAAAATTGTAAGCTTTGTTCGTTTGATCTAATATATACGAGTTAGAATAAAAATATTTTTTTGTGAGGAGCAACAGCCAAGAGACCGTTCCTGTTCTGCTACATACTACTGATATAGTTGTTTAAAAATCACAAAAGTATGATTTATCCAATTACTCGATTAATCGATGAAAAAAAACAAAACATTTAAACATTAAAAATATTCAATAGTTGCAGCCTTGAAGTCCACACTTAACACACAATTCACTGTCAATAAAGTGTCCAAAATATACCTCAAAAATAAGAGTAGCGTCTGGGGGTATCATGGGAGGGCTGCCCGCAGATCCATAAGCATATTCGGGCTTACAGGTAAATTGGCACAACTCTCCCACTTTCATTGTGGCTACACCTATATCCCATGCCTTTATAACTTGACCTAAATCAAGAGAGAAGCAATTATTACCACAAGCAAGGTGACTTTGAAATTACTTCTAATTAGAGCTCATGAAAATGCCAGCAATATCATGCTTGTATAGCACAAAAACATACCTTTTCCCAACTCAAAGGAAAATCTTTCTCCTTTGCCTCTGCTGGAGTCAAATTCAGTACCATCCACAAGGGTGCCGACATAATGTACAAACACTTTGTCACCAGTAACTGGAGACTCCTCACCCGTTCCTTCTCTTTTCACTAGCTGGAACAATGCAAAAACACCACAATATTAAATTATACTTTCAGTACATGTAATATAAACATCAAGTAAATTAAATTCCATTCAAATTAATCCGTGAAGTGTCCATTGTCTTCTGCTGACGAGTGAATGCATTTATTTTCGGTCCATTGCAGCGATATTTGGGTTGGTCATTTAAGGGACTGTCTATTAAACTCACTGATGTGCCTGGATTAGAATAAGGCGAGGTATGTTTAATTATGGGTTGTTCTTTGGAGCAGGAAATGCTTTGTGTCAATCAGGTTCGTCTTTGTCACTGTTACAGAAACACTATACAGTAGTTTGTTCGTACAAGTACTGTCTATTAAACTCACTGATGTGCCTAGATTAGAATAAGGCGAATAATAGTTTGTTCGTACAAGCATTGTCGTTATTCTAAATGCAATTAAGTAATATTCTTTACTACTTTTTTAAAATTTGTAATAACATTCGATAATTATTTGTGTTATGGACACACCGGTTAGCGGTAACGGTACAAGTTAGCAATGTAACAAGCACAGATTTGGGAATAATAGATAGAGGTTTGAAAACAAAAATGAAGTATGACTGGTGATAACAGTGTACCTTAACAGCTAATATTAACTGAGCGATATTACATAAAACAAAACAAATCAAGCCTACTATCAAGCTACGATATGGGTAATGATACATGACAGCAACGAAACAAATTACCTTTAACACGCCTCCGTCTTTCTTTGGTGAGATGTCCTCTCCCATTGGGATGTTATGTTTCCCTTCACAAGTCTGCTTCTCTGCAGTCATTTTCAAATTGTAGAATCTCTTATAGGGAGGTGAAGGTAAAAGCTAACAGCTAAAAACAGACGTGAAACAACCCACAACACCTATTTAGCCGCTTCACAAAGCTTAACAAATAAACAAAGAGGCAGTGACGCTCTACGCAAATTCTGTCTCTGTTGAACGTCTTCACGCTTTGTTACGGACAAAAACTGACACCTGAGAAAGGATAATCCAGGTCCAACTTATGCAGCAGTGCAGAATATGACTGGCGCTTACAAAAAGGCAGAGAAGTTTCCAGACAGTCTTTAAAGAAACACGGTGTGAGAAGGCTGTTCTCGCTCTCGCGAGAGTAACAGGGGAAGGGTCGCAAAAAGAGTATAGTGACTGTATATTTGTATTAGTACATTACATTACTTTTAATTAAAATGTTACTTTTTTAATATTTACATAGTTGAATTGAAAGAATAGTTTTATTATGTCGACCGAAAGGAAACACACACACAATGCGCTGTTCATTCAAGCGTCCCTATCATATCTCGCTTCCTATTGGATGCGCTGCAGGAAGCGCTTTGACTTCCTGTTGGCGCGACTGTGTCAAACAGAGTTAAAAGTAATGACGCAAAGCAAAAACCTGTTGAAGGAGTACTGCTCGTAAGTACTAGTGTCTTATATTAGTGTCCTTATAGAGATCATTCAACAGCTTAAATTTAAAACTCTAAAGCTCTGATGTGATATTCCTTTGTGGTTTTGTTTATAGCAAGTGGCAGCATGCAAAATGCAATTGATAACTAAAATATTTAACCTAAGCACTATGTCAACACCCAGGGACGTTTAGCACAATGGAGAATGTCAGGGACAAGTTTCCATTTCCCTATGAGCCCTATGACATTCAGGAGATGTTTATGCGAACACTGTACCAAGCACTGGAACAGGGAAAAGTTGGCATCTTTGAAAGTCCAACAGGAACGGTACGTACGACGTCTTAAACGTACACACAACATTAGTCAAAGCTGGTCTCACTGCTGTTTTTATATGCTTTCTCCTTATCGTTTATCTTTATTTACCTGTTACACAACACCTTCTCCACCCATTCCATCCTGCCTGCATTATCCTGGTCTGCTCTGATACCACAGTGTATAATTAACAGGTCCTGCACAACCTTAACATAATGCAATTTATAATTGTGTTGAATAGAGAACATGCACAAATAAAACTAACAATATAACAGTATGGGTTTAAATAAAAGATAGAAAGAATTAAAACTACTTTAAACGTTTCCCTGTCCCTTTTTGCTGGTACGTCTTCTTCCATTGGGAGAGCGATTGTTTTGTTTTTTCCGGCAAATGTCATACCATATTTACCACCCTCTGGTCTCTGCCAACGTCGTTCAAGCAATATATATATATATAAATATATATATATAAATATATATAT